TAATTATTTAAATTTTTGTGGGATTCATCAGTGAAACCATCTGGTCATGTGCTTTTCTTTGTTGGGAGGCTTTTAACTACTAATTCTATTTCCTTATTAATCATAACTATGTTCAGACTTTCTATTTCTTCATTATTCAGTCTTGATGTATCTGAGGTTCCTAGGAATTTATCCATTTCTTCTAGGTTATCCAATCTGTTGGTATATAATTATTCATAATAGTTTCTTATCATTTTATCATGTCACTTAGCGTTGGTTATAATGTCTCTTTGTTTTCTGATATTGTGAATGTTCTTTAATTCTTAGTCTAGCTAAAGATTTTGTCAATTTTATTTTTTAGAAAACAACTTTACTGATTTTTTCTACTGTTTTTCTGGTCTCTATTTCATTTATTTCTGCTCTGATCTTTATTTCCTTCTTTCTGTTAACTTTGGTCTTAGCTATATTTTAGAGAGCTTAGTGGTGTAAATTTAGGTTGTCAGTTGAAATCTTTATTTTTAAATATAGATGGTTATGTCTATAAACTATCCTTTTAGTACTGCTTTTGCTAAATACCATAAGTTTTGGTATGTTTTATTTTGTTTTTGTTTTCTCAATGTATTTTTAAATTTCCTCTAATTTCTTCCTTGACCTACTGATTCTTCAAAAGAGTGTTATGTCATCCACATAACTTGAGTTTTTCAACTTTTTTATTCAGCTATTATTTTTATTTATTAGTACATGTTCTTAGTACATCTGATTATATTTATTGTGGGGAGTTGATATATGTACACAATACATTTTAATTCTTTTTTAAATCCTCTCCCCCTCCGTTCCCTTCCTGCTTACTTCAACTCTCGCTTCTCTTCACATTTGCAGAAGCTCTGTTTTCATCATTTTCCGTTCAATTATTTTTTTCTACCCCTTTTGCCTCCCCTCTCTCCAGCTATTGATTTATAATTTCATTTCATTGTGGTGGGGAAAATTACTTGGAATGATTTCAATCTTCTTGATATTTCTTCTTAAGTTTTTAAAGACTTTTTAAATGACTCAGTGTAGTTAATACTAGATGCATTCTAGATATATTTGAGAAGAGTGTGCATGCTACTGTTGGGTGGAGGGTTTTGAACCTATATGTTGGGTCCAATTTATCTATGATATTTTTCTCCTGCTCTATTTCTATGTGTATTTGAGGAGAATGTGTATTCTGTAGCTGAGTAGAGTGTTCTATATATATCTTTTAGGTCCAGATAGTCTATAGTGTTGTGCTCTGTTTGCTTGTTAATCGTCTGTCTGCTTGATTTATCCCTTTCTCAAGAGGAATTTTGAAATTTTCTTTGTTTTTTATGTTACTATGTATTTTTTTCTTCAATAATGTCCACTGTTGTTTCCTATATTTGTGTACAGTACTCTACTTTTAGGTGCATCTATATTTATAATTCTTATTTTTGCCTTTTGAACTGACCCTTTTATCATTATATATATATTATTTTTCTCTTTCGACAATTTTCAATTTAAAATCAGACCTTCCAAATTTAAAGATTCATTCCAAAAATGGACACCTGAAATGAACAGACATTTCTCAGACAAAGAAGTACAAATACCAACATGAAAAAATGTTCAACATCACTGGTCATTCAAGAGATGCTAATGAAAACAACACTGAGATTCCACCTCACCCCACAAAGAATGGCTGCTATCAAGAAATCAAACAATAACAAATGCTGGCAGGGCTGTGGGGAAAAAGTAACCCTTTTCTACTGTTAGTGGGAGTGTAGACTGGTGCAACCACTGTGGAAATCAGTATGGAGATACCTCAAAGAACTAGGAATAGAGGTCCAATTTGACCCAGCTATTCCCCAGCTAGGTATCTTCCAAAATAATTAAAAGAATCATACCACAGCTATATAAGTGTACCCATGTTCATAGTGGCACAGTTTGTAATATCTAAAACTTGGAAACAGCCCATTTGCCCATCAACTGGAGACTGGATAAAGAAAATATGTTTTATTTTTATAAATTGGAGTACTTACTGAGCCATAAAGAATGAGAAATAGAGACATTTATTGCTAAATGGATGCACATTGAGGTGGCACTCTTAAGTGAAATAAATAGGACACATGTGTGAATACTGAATAGTTTCTCAGGTGTGAGAAACTGAAAGTGTAGATAAGAATCAAAATATATAATAGATAATGTGAAATAGAAAGAAAAGGTGCAAAGGGGAAGTGGAAGTGTGAGGGGTAGGGGAAAGGAAAGAAGGGAATGGAATTAACATGAGAAAATGAAAAAAATGGAAACAAAGTCTTTGTAAATAGAGAGGGGTGTAGGGGTTGAAGGGTGGGCAGAGGAATGGGGAAAAATAAGAATCAAGATATATTATGTAAAGGTACGAATCTCCAGTAATGAATGCCATTATATTGTATACCTAAAATGTATTAATTAAAATTAATTAAAAATCTATTTTATCTGATGTAAGTATGACTACTGCCCGCTTTTGGTTACTATTTGATGAGTCTTATAAATATCATGTTAGATTTTTTTGTTTGTTTATCCCTCAATCAACTTCTGGCTTTTGATTGCAGAATTTAATCCATTTATGTTCAAATAATTATTATAGAGTAGGACTTACTATTCCTCTTTTATTGTTTTCTATTTTGTAGCCTTTCTGCTTCTTTTCTTCTCTTGATGTCTTCCTTTGTATTTCATTGACTCCTTTCTATAAGAGGTACGTTTTGATTCCTTTCTTACTTCCCTTTGTGCACCTTCTTTAGATTTTTTTGTGGTTACCACAGGACCTTACATTAAGCATTCTGTAATTATGGCAGTCTATTTGATATCACATAAACTTATTCTTAGATGCATATGAAAACTCTACACATATAATTCAGCCCCCCACTTTGTTACTGATTACACATTTTATATTTCCAATAATACATATTATAATCATCATTTGTTTTTGTTTTTTTTGAGACAGGGTCTCACTATGTAGTTGAGATTCACTTGGAACTCACTGTGTAGCCCAGGATGGTCTCAAACTCACAGCAATCCTCCTGCCTCAGCCTCCCCAGTGCTAGGATTATATGCTTGCACCACCACGCCTGGCTGTTATCATTTCTAATTTATACTTTTATCTATTAGTTTCTATGCAGAATAAAATGATGTATGTACACCTTTTCAATATTCCAGTATTCTGTTTTGTCTACATGTTTACCACTGAGCTTTATATTTTCACATGCTTTCAATTGTCTTATTTTTAATTTAAAGACTGCCTTAACATTTTTTGTGAGCCAGGTATAGTAGTGATGAATTCCCCCTGCTTTTGTTTATATGAGAGAGTCTTTATCTCTTCCTTTTCGAAGACAACTTTTTGTGAATATAGTATTCTTTATTCACAATGTTGTTCTTTCAGCACTTTAACTTTAGCATTTCAGTTCCTTCTGGCTTGAGAGGTTTATGATGCCAGTCTTATGGAACTCTCTTTTATGTGATGGAGCAATTTTCTCTTCAATGTTAATTTTTGTGGATTCATCGTAGTTAGATTCTGTTGGGCTTCATAGGTCTTAAAGTCCATTTCCTTTCCTATATTTGGGACGTTTGACCCATTGTTTCTGCAAATAATCTTTCTTCTTCTTTCTCTTTTCTTTTACTGCAGTAATGTATAAATTGATTCATTTGTTGGCCTCCCATAAATTTCTTAGATTTTCTTCATTTTTTAAATACTCATTGTGACTCTCACTTATCATTTCAAATGACCTGCTTCCAAGTTTTCTAGTGCCTTTTTCAATTTCATCAAGTCAGTTCTTGAAGCCTTTTAGTGATTTTTTTAGTTTGTGTTTATTGTATATTTTTTAAAAATATTTTTACTGCTCTTTTGATATGTTTATTTTGTTCATGAACCATTTTTTGAGTTTATTGTGCATCTTTATGATGGATATTTTGAATTCTGTGTCAAATAATTCATATACTTTCTTTACTTTTGTGTCAGTTTTTGGAGATTTTATTCCTTTGTTTGGAACATGATTTTTTATTTCTTTCTATGTTTTGCACCTTTTGCTTAAGAAAATGACCATTTCTCCAAATCTTCTGATTGGCTTCATTAAGCAAAGATTTTCACTAATCAACCTGATTAGAGATTCTGAGAGCCTTTCAGACCTTTCCTGTGGATGCTTCTCTAGAAGTGTGTATGTAAATTCCATATTAGAAAGATTTACTAGTTTCTTTTCTTTCCAGTTTATTCTGTCTTGTGCCCTGGTGTCTGTTTGTGGCACTTCATGTTCTTTGGAACTGTTGGAAGCTGCCCATTTCCATTTATTTATTTATTTATTATTTGGTACCGGAGATTGAACTCAGGCCCTTGCACTTGCGAGGCAGGCAGCGGAACCACTGAGCTAAATCCTCAGCCCCACAATTTCCTTTAAGTTCATAATGTCCCTTCGAACTTCTAAAGTGTGCTGGGTCTCATTAGTGCTTTGAATATGTTGAAATAAAACCGAATCCTTTGGGAAACCCTCTTAAAGTAGGAATATTGGACACTCAGTGTATACTTTCTCCACTCACCTCAAGGAATAGTCACTGAGCTATATTAAGCTCTCTACTACATTTCCTGAGGAGCAGCACCAAATCACCCAGACCATTTTTTCCCAGAAGCCCCCAGGCATTCCGAATATTCTGGGTTTTGTCACCCTTCTGGAGCACATGAGACATAAACCAATCTCTTCAGCAGCTCCTGGAAGAAATAGTGTGTTGAGCTCATGCTCAAACTCTTTCCCTCTCTGAGGAGATTCTAGGGATTGAGTTTTCCCCTTCTTTTTCCATTCTGTGCTAGAAGGATGTGCTAGTTGAGTGAATGTGTTCTAGTCTAAACCTTTGCCTCTATTCTCAGTAGTCCCCAGTCTGGCATCCCTTTCCACTAGTACACAGATTCAAGCAAGATATATCTCAGTTCCCCAACTCTCTCCTTCAGCAGAAAGTTTGCATGTTGGACATATATTTCAGTCTCTTTTTTTTTTATTCCCCAGGGAGAAGCCAAGAATTGAGAGTTTTCTTCTGATTGCATTGTGCTCAATTTGGCAGAGACCATGGCAAGTAAGTAACACAAATTTCTTCCTGGCTTCAATGTGGCTGGTTTCATACTTGTCTAGGGCGCAGGAGCCTGTTAATTGGTTTCCAGATTCATTTAGAAGGAAATTAGTCTATGTATTCATTGTTGAATTTGTGTTTCCATTTGGAGAAAGGAAGATATCCGGCTTTCAATTCTTTTTTTTTTCTTTTTATTGAGTTTATTGGTACATTCTACGTATACAGTATAGTTACATTCATTACTGGGATCTTGTACCTTTACATGACAGGTCTTGGTTCTCACTTTTTCCCCATGTCCCTGCCCTCCCTTCACCCCCTCCTCACCTCCCCATTTACAAACACTTTATTTCCATTTTTTCATTTTCTCATATTTTTTCTTTTCCCTTATTCCCTTTCCCCCACCCTTCCCACTTTCCCTACACCTTAAGCCCTTTTTCTTCCTATTTCACATTGTTAATTATCCCATTAGGATCTTGTGTACTATTATAGTTTTTCACACCAGAGAAACTATTCGGTATTCACACACTTTCAATTCTGACATCACCCTTTCCCATTTTATTATTTGTTTTCTGTTTGCTCCCTCTGTTTCTTTTTGCTCTTTGAACACGTTTTTCTTATTTCACAGAATTCCAATGATACATACAAATGCTAAACCCTTTGTTATGGCTCCATAGATTCCTTAAGGTGTGTTCTTTTTAATTTTTATGTTCTCTTTACTCTTGTATTAAAATCGAGTAAATTCTACTGATATGTCTTCAACTTCACTGATTATGTTCTTTCTTATATCTACTTTATTACTGAATCTGTTTAGTAATTTAACAAAATAGCTATTTATTCTTTTTTGTTTTTGGTACTGGGGATCGAACTCGGGACCTTGTGCTTGTGAGGCAAGCAGAGTCACCAATGAGCTAAATCCCCAGCCCTTGTTTATTCAGTTTTATAATTTGCATTTGATTATTTTTTAAATTACCTCATTTATTTGATGACATTTTCTATTTTTTGTATTTGCTTTAGTAGAATTTTAGGTACTTGTTGAAGAAGTTTTATGGCAGTGGCTTTAAAATCCTTGAAGTTATCTTGATATTGCTGTTCAGTTAATTTTTTATTATTCAATTTGTAATTTTCCTAATTCTTGGTATGAAGAATGAGTTCTCCACTGCATCTTAGACATTTTGTTACTATTTTAGAAATCTCTTGATCCCATTTAAATCAGGTAGTCATTCGTTTTAGGTTTAGAATACAGGTGACAGCCTGTCTTGGGGTTTCATATTTCAATAATAATTTAGTTTTCAGAGCCATTTCAGTGTTAGTCTGATCTGTTTTGTTCTTCTGGCACTGCTACAGATCTTGCTCATTTCCTATTTGTGCCAACTACTGGTAGTCATCTGTTTTAGGTTTAGAATACAGGTGACAGCCTGTCTTGGGGTTTCATATTTCAATAATAATTTAGTTTTCAGAGCCATTTCAGTGTTAGTCTGATCTGTTTTGTTCTTCTGGCACTGCTACAGATCTTGCTCATTTCCTATTTGTGCCAACTACTGGGCGTACAGCATTTTCTTGGGCTATCTGGTATCATTAGGCCACATTATCCTACAGGAATTGGAGCAGAAAAATCCAGGGGGAGTGAGTCTTTTCTATGCTGCTAAATGTAGTACCAGGAGATGGTGATGTCCTAGGTAAAGATTGGAGTGTTGATGGATCCAGCACTTTGCTATTGTCGCTGTAGATTGACCTACTACCCTATAAACACCACAAATATTGAAGTAGGGTTGGGTTGGTCTACTTGGGCTTTACTGCTGCCCTTGTGGGCTGCCAATGTAGTAGCTGTGGATTAGGAGTTAGGAAAGTGTAGCAGGATTTTGAAATTCTTTCTGTGGGCAGATCAGTATACCTGCTGGTGTCCTGATTGTGGAGTTGCAGTTGGATTTGCCAAGGCTTTGTACCTGAAGTCCCCACTGTGCAAAGCAGATTATTCTCAGGTGTTTCTCTTCTAAAGAAAGGACTGAGGCTCCCCAATAGATCTGTTGGGCTTCGTTTTTCCAAGTATTTAGACCAAAGAAAACAAGTTTCATTTTGTTGTTTTCTTGTTCTTAATTACAGTGAACCCCCAAAATTTGGGGGGTTATGTTCCTAGGGCACCCATGAATTGTGAAAATGGCAAATTTCAGATATGGTGAGAAAAATGCCTATAAATGACAATTTTAACCCTAAATACGCTATATCACCCACAGTTATGTAATTTAATTTAATAAAATACTGTATTAATAAAGCCTTAGAAGGTGCAGGACCTTTTGGCGGCATTTTAGGGATTTTAAGGTTTTAAGAAGGACAAAATCGAGAACATTCATAGTACAGCAACCTATTATGATTCGAGAATGCTGGTGCATCTGCCAGAGATGGGTTACAGGGCAGCAGCAAGGAAAACTGAATAACACTCTTGGATTGGCTATTTGCAAACCTACCGCCAAAAGAACAAAAACACAAACAAAGAAAAAGCAATTGCGAGGATATTTTCAGTTTCTGAAATTGAGCAGGTTTCCACAAACAATTATTAGTTAGGTTCTAAGGAAAAATGTGAGAACAACTGAGGACTTGAACTCTGAACTGCAACTTAGCAGGAGTATATTGGATGCCTTTTGCTGGTCATGGATTGCAGGCCTTCTCGGTGAGCGTTTTGGGATTTTTTAGAGATACAGAGGAAACTCTGGGTTGTCATATAATTGTTTTCTCTCAAAACATGCATTCACTAGCCTTCTTTTCATATTTCTGTGTCTCTTTTTCTTCTCTGTTCAATTATTTTTAGAGTAGTTAGAGGGAGAAACAGGGAAGTGTGTTATAGCATTTTCTATGTTAAAGGATATATTTTAAAGGTCAAACTAACAACATTTGGTAGACTGCATCTGGGCTATGAGAAAAAGATAATCAAAGGTCATTCCAAAGCTTTTAGACTCAGCAAACAAAGTAAGTGTTGGCATCATCAGCTAAGAAGGGAGCTCCTAGAAGATGACCTGATTTGGTGGGGCTGGGGCTTACAATTAAGCATTATGTTGTAGATATGTTAAATTTTAAGTAATTTAAGTGATGATGAATGGTATATAGTTAGATTTGCAAATTTGTACTTCAAGGATGGTGATAATATTTGGGAGTCATGAGATTATGAATGTATTTAGAACCACGAGATTTAGGAAATTACTTAGGAAATGATTATATCTAGAGAAGAATTCCAAGAGCCATTCTTGGCACATTGAAATATTTAGAATTAGGAAAGTAAAGTATCTAGTAAAGGAAAACAAAAAATTGGTGTCCTTGTTGTGGAATGGAAGCTACGTCTGCCAAGGCATTGTACCAAAGGTCTGCCTCTTTGTACAAAGCAAGCTATTTTCAGTTGTTTCATCATGAAGCAAGGATTGAGGCCAGTAATACAGGAGGACAATAATTAATTGTAATGAAACCCAAGTGAAGCAGTTGGTTCCAGAACAAGAGAGTGATCAATTGCACAAATGTTTTTGAGACACCAAGTAAAATGAGCGCCAAGTAAAATGAGAATTAACTGTAGGATTTATTAATATGGAGATTGTGACCTTAGTGAGAGCAACTTCTATGGAGACAAGAAATCAAAATCTGTTCTAATTGGAACAGATTCAAGAGAGTGAAAAGCAAGGTAATGGAATAAGGGAGAGAATAGGCAATTCTTTAGAGGAATTTTCTGTGAAGTGAAGAAAAGAAATGAATGGAAGCTAAAGTGTTTCTTTAAAAAAATGAAAGAGAGCAGAGAATGCTTATATGCTGGTAAAATTATATAGTAGAGAGGAAAACTATTCATAATACAAAAATAAGAATGAGATTCAGTGTGCAAATGAAGGAGTTGATGTTGGGAGCAAAAGCAAGTATTGATTATAACAGGACAGGAAACATAATCTATCAGTGTAAGTAGAACAAGGAAGTTCTGTTTTGATAGTTTTTACTTTGACACTATAATCAAAGTTTAGAATAAAAAAAGGCAGAAGTGTTAAAGAATTGAAGATTTGAGGAGAGATGAAATAGAATAATGTTGGATAGCACTGATTGTACACTTCAGGTAGAATTATTATAATTTTAAAGTGAAAACAAATTGCATTTTTAAGGGTTTTCATTCAGAAATTTTTGAAGCCATCACAAATGTAGGGAAAGTAGTGTGTATATCTTATGTAACTTTTTATACAATAAATTTTGGGTGTAAGGTGCTGACCTGATGTTCTATCACACCCTGAGTGTGAATATCCTACAAAGGCTTTATCTTACATGACCATAAAACATTCAGAAAAATGCAAAAATGTATGGTGATATTATAATATTACAAAATAATGTTTAAATCTCCTTTACATTCTACCAATTGGATCAATAATGTTCTTTATGGAAAAATAAATGTTCAGAGTCATGTGTTATATTTATCTGTTCTATCTTTTTGGTGTCTTTCTTACTAGAACAGTTTCTACATTTTCCATGACTTTTGTGAGCTTATTATTTTTGAAGATTGCACATACAGTTATTCACATCTATATTTACTTCTGTATCTATCTGTATATATTAAAAGCCAGTAACTCAATCTAAATCCAGTCTAATATCACAGAATTTATTGTAGATTTATATGTAAAAGTAAGAAACCTGGCTTCCATTATACTTAATATTTATTTGCTTGTTGGAAAAATTCTCCTTGTAACCAACCTCCCATTTCCACCCACATCTTCTTTCTCATGGGAATAAGATTTTGGATTGATTGCCTATTCTAAGGACCTTTCCCACATGGATATCATCTTCACTGTTATAGTATGAATGTCTGTGTTCCTCTCAAATATATTTATCAAAACTTAGTCATTAATGTGAATGTGTTAGGAGGTGAGGCTTCTGAGAGGTCCTATGTTATGAGGACAGAGCCCTTGTGGATGGTGTAATTACTCATATAAAAGAGACACAGGAGGGTTTCTTTGCCCTTTCCATCATGAAAGGTCACAGAGATAAAATGGCTT